AGACAGCAATTTGAGAAGACATTATTATATAATGATTGAAATAAATATATTGCTAAAATTTGAAGTCTGATACTCTAAATATGTCTTTAGTATCAATTCTAACATTATGCTCGTTTGAGAGATTTGCCGTACATATGAAAGCTAGTAGAAGTCAGAGTCAGAAACCTTCTAGTTTAGATAATGATACAACACATGTTTAAAAAAAAGATTTCTCAGAAGGAGGAAAAACTAAATTTCTAATCAAAAGATCAAAAAAGTAGCTATTCAAATCGTTCAAGCACATTTTGTAATAGGCTGAAAATAGCATTTTTGCTCATTTCCCATCTTCATTGCATATAATGGATGCATTCTACTAAATGTCTACTATGCAGAAAAATGAATGCGGAACGGTAAACATCATTTCCCATTCTTCAGAGTCTTCGTCAGCTGCCAACAATCAAGTGTTTACCACGACGTTGGATACATGTTTATCAGAAGTGGTAATTACCATTTAATATCTTACTTTCCAAAGTTACCTTGTGTTCATTGGATAGCAGACATAATATGTAGCAGAAATTGAAATGATAGTTACTTAGAATAGAGCAAAGTGTAGCTAACCTAAAGCTTCATTTTCAGCTCCTTCTCTTCCTTCTCCGTAAGTACTCAGCGCAGCAAATCCAAATGTTATCTGCGGTATTTCTGAGTCCCTTCGATCCCTAAAAACGATATTTAATATTGAAGATATGAGTTCTGGGAAAGTAGCATTCTTTAGTATGCGGAGGTTTTCAAAATTTCAGAGTTTCTTCAATACTTTACCAAACCAGATTTGGCTCAGTCAGTTACACAAGGTCGCATGACAAGTAGGCTGAGGCCATAAAGAGCACACTTCTCTATCTATGAATAACACTTAAGACTTGGGCATATTCCAACTGCTTTTAAACAGAATGGCTGACGGTTTTCAAAGAAGAGTTCTGTTTTTAAAACCGCGTCACTATACCCCACATCTTCTCTCCCCTTTTAACTCTTAGCCGCACTCTCAGCTCCCTCATTTCGAAGCAGGAATTCCTTCTCCTTTTGACATTGTTTGTTGGAAACTAAAGTCATGCTTTGCAAAAAGATGCTTGCGCGCATTTTGTATTCTTTGTGTACGTGTTTTGCCGAGAGACGTTTATTAAAATTCTTCCATGGGTCAGTTTTTT